TGAATTTGAATCTTATGCACGGAGCCTCCTGGGCCAGCCTCGAAGTGGTGGTGTGCTCAAGTGTGCTTCAGTGAGAGTCACTTATGAAGACATACCTTATAACGGCGTGCGCTGGCGGCATGAGCCCAACCCTGGCGTGTCATAATCCTGGCGGTCCCCCTTACAGTACAAGCACCAGCCTTCGACAGGCTGCTTCCTTTCCTTCGGTCATGTCTCGCTTCGATCCCTCCACTCCCCCCCCTTCCTTCCCATACTACAACTCACCGCACTTCTGGGATCCTTCCCCGACATGTCCCCACCCAAATACCCAGATCCAACAGCAGTTCGGGCTTGGAGGGGGGCACATAGGGTAGGGGTGGCAGTGACTGAAGGGGGGGGGGGGCAGAGATCTATCGTCATCTCGCTCACATCGCACCTGGGATGATGGCCGGCGCATCGGTTACCGGTTCTGAGGCGCGGTATGTTGGCTCCCTTTCATAGGACCCTCGGCGCGCTGTACTGTGTGCGTGGCACAGGCGCCGTTTCAATTGACACGTCAATTAGGACCATCTCTGCGTTTGATGATTATAATAGTACAATCCCGTCTTTCTCACCAAGAGGCATCATGTCTACAACCGCGACCAGCCGCATTTTGAGCACCGTCCGCAGGTCAACACCACCACCTGATGGAACGACAGGCATCATAGTATTGTCTGGCACCTGAGGCGGTAAATACCTGGGGCAGGGTACTTGCCGATGTGGTTCAGCGGCCATCGTGTCTTTTCCCGAGGGGCCGCCCCTGCCTTCCTCAAGGACTCGTTCCTTTGGTCCCTCCCCTTCCCCTCCCCTGTCCTTACAAAACCAATCCATAGGGTACCTACCTAGGTAGGTCGGCATGCAGTGTGAAGTCCACTGAGAGGCAGGGCCCGACAGGTAGGTACTTAGGTAGGTAGATAGGTATTACTTGCCCTGGCCGCTGATCTCTTATTACCAGCATTAGCATTGCGGACGCCGGCCATGCCAATCGTGCGCTTCTCGTTTTTCTACCTCTCCAGCTCCCCCCTTCTCTCTTGATTGCATGTTTCCTTCCTGCCGACCCTGCTACCACTAATATTTCCTCTTCTCTTCCTCTCCTCCATTCCGCCTCTCCAGATCTCCTCCAACCCGGCCACCCTTCGTCCCTCCTCACTCAGACGCCATCTCTCTCTCTTCTGCCGCGAGATACTTCTAAGGTAGACATCCTCGGCCATTTCCAGCACCCACTCAATCTCGGGACCCGCCTATCCTCTTCGCGACACCACGCGACAGAAGCCGCCGTCTCTATTCACTCGCGCTTGTCTGACTGCCGCAACATAGCGGCGTGACCTGACTGGCGGGGGCACCCATCGATTCTTCGCTTCCCCCTCCATTCCGTCGGTGGACAGCTGGTTGCTCGAGTGCTGGCGCGCGCCGAGTCCAGGCATCGAAACGAGTGGAACTCCAACGGACAACGGCCGCCATTTCCCATGCCCACGGCATCTCACCTCGCCAATTTACACTACGATACGCCGTGTCGCTTCCCACGTTGACGAGAAGAACCGAACGAGAGGTAGCCTCCTATTCCCGAGCCGCCCGCCAACAACGCCTCTGGCACTACCTACGCAGTTTCGGTCTAGCTCCTGCTGTGGTAGGTCAACGAAGGAGAAGGAGAAGGGGCCCAGCCAAGCCCCCCTTGCCCAGCTCCTCAGTCGAACGGTGTCCCAACCCGCTTTCCAAGCCGCTAGGTTGGCACCAAAAACGCAAAAAGGAACGCGAGATACCACCACCCACTTCAAATATCCTGGCAACATCCTAGTCTCTCGGACAGAAAACGCCCACACCCCACACCCCTCCCCGCGCCCACCCCTCCCCGGTTCGAATCCTGACAGTGTGTCTTGGACTCCCTGTTCGAAAAGGCCGCCACTGAGCAGCGTGGTAACTTGACCAGCGCCAGGCGGGCTTCCTACCCTCGGACTCCCTGGCTCACAGGCGTATACCTCTCGGCCATCCGTCGTCCACGCCCAAGCTAGTTGACACAAGCGCGCACACCCCTCCACCCCCCCCCCCCGACGAGGATACACGGTGTTACCTGACACTCTTCGCCTTTGGCGTCCCGCCACCACACGCGTGCCGATAGCTCTGATCAGATCTGCCCGTTTTCCCCAGACTTCATTCGACTAAACCACCCACGCCACAACGCCGTCGGCCAGGCAGCACTGGCTAGGTAGCGCAGAGATACTTGAGCCTGACCCTGCCACCGTACCCAATTCCTCCACATATCCACCCCCCCTCCCCCCGCGACTC